CGGGATGGAACGACCACAGTTACTTCCAGAAAATTTTACAGTTTTCCATTGTTCAGAGGCCAAAACGGAATATTTGCGGACGCCAGAGCATCACACAGATCTCTGAAAAAATCTGATGACTTATTTCCACCTCCAGATGAACACTGTTGCAGTAACATTTGCACAGGTTTCTTTTTGTTCGAAATTTGCACTGCTCGTTTATGCTTGTTGCGGCCGATATGTTGTTGTACCATGAATTTTTTTTTCTGCCGCTACTTTCGTGTCACACATCTTGCAGCATAAAATGTCACCTGTCAGTTGAAATATATATCATCTCTAAACTCAACTACAAATTGTTTTAAATGACACGATTTAGTTGACTTTGCTTTTGGCATCGTGATAAAATGAAACACTCTAGTGCAACACAGAGCTGAACTTTTCTCACTGAGAACCTTTCGTCAACATATCTTTATCTGTACGGTCAAGGGCGAGGAACTGAAGACAAGTAGTTTTATTGAACAGCGTCATATGAAGCAAGATATTCCGACTAGAAATATATGTAACTAAGCAAATTGCTTTGTACAAAGAGCCGCAGTGTGAGTAGTCATCGCCGTACCCTGTTTAATCATGTGTATTGTCAGCACTTCCATGAAATGAATGGAAAGGACAGGCCAGCATTACAACCTATTATTGTACTATTATTATACTTGTACACTTTGCTTCCATATTGTTCACATTTCAGAAAACAGATGAAGAAAATTTCCCTAAAATGGCCAAACATGACAAGAAATACCTTTAAAAGCCCAAAAATTTACCAAAAAAATACCACAAAAATGGAAAAAATGACCTTAAACCTAAAAATGACATAGAATTACCCATAAAATTTACATTTCTGTAACCAGCAGCTCATATCCGAGATTTATATATTTAAGAGCATTTCATAGGGTACAAGGAAAAAAAGATGACATGTCATCAAAATCCGGGCCCTGATGATAACAGTAATTAGCTGTTATGGTCAGTTTTTTTGAAAATTAACATTTCAGTCTCTAAAATACATACCCATTATAAATTTTGTAAATGAAAATTTACACATTTCACCCTTCCATTTTAAAGTAAAATTGTAACAGTTTCCAAACTGGAAGCCTCATAAGTATTGAAGGGGCTCATAGGGTTGTGATATGTTAAGGTTCACACATTTTCTAGACAATGGGCTCGTAGATGGCGGCAAGGTTGTCACCCCTATGAGTCGGTTGCCCTTTACCCCCCAAGAATATTCCTGGTACTCATTTCTGTTAAGAGGCTGAGCTGACTCCAGGGCCTTAGTGCAGCCAGAAGATAGGTCAATTGAAAAAATCCAGTGACCTCATCGGGACTTAAACCTGCGACCTTCTGGCTTTTAGCATAGTGCCTCAACCAACTACGCTATTGTGTGCCCCTTTGATTATGGGATAAAGATTCTTAAATGTCTATATATTGTAGCTTACAGATTGCAGACAAAACAGAACAAGAGGCTAATGAACTTAAAAACAAGCTGCTCAAACAAAACACATGAGAGGAACATATAGTTCTAAACAACTGGACGACACCCCTTGTGAGGTGGAATGGGATTTCACAAAGTGATGAAAATTTTAATAGAACATTTTAATGGATTTTATTTTATTGTATTGTATTAAGTGCACCACAGAGTGCGATTTTACCGTATATTAATGCAGTGTAGCCTTTTTGATATATTAAAGACGCCTGAAGATGGCCATCTAAAGCCGAAACATGTTGTGTTAAAGTATAAGTGGAAGAAAATGAACAATTGTTGCATTGTTGATGGACTGTGTTATACATAGACATTTTAATATGACTTGCAACATGATGCGTAAATACAGAATTATAAAGATTCTTGTTGTACAACAAAAACTTTTTGATTGTGATAACCATATAAGGTGCGTTACCAGCAATGTGATGCTCAGTCAGTATTCTGCATAAGTTCTGAATGGGTCACAGGGCAGCTCATATAGCAGTTGTGAGCAACAGTTCTGGTAGTTAATGCAGTGTGATTTTCAGAAGTGTTTGAGAGATATTTGGGATACACAGGGGATTATGGAATTGTTTAAATATATGCAAAAAATTAGTGTAAATTTTTTGTTTTCTTTGTGCTTTCTGTGCCCCTTCCTGTTTTCGCCTCAGTAATCACCCCAAAAAATTTCAACAGAATACAAATCATGAAGCCCCTCATAATTTTTCCCTTGTTGATCTTTTTATGTCTTGGATTTTCTTCAGTTACTGCACCATCAGTCTTTGTTCATTCTTGATAGAGGCCAGATTTTGGACTCCACAAAACTGTGGGCAGAATTTTTGATTATTCACTAATTTTAATAGACGAGAATATGAATATTTTTAATTAAATGATTACATATATAACCACACTTAAGGCTGCTTTCAATTTTATCGTGAATAAAATTTATGTACACTCAGTCTGAAAACTTAAACCACCTTATTCTACGAATTTGCACTAGCAGTTCATACTGCTGCTGCTTCCTTTGTCAACAGATAATCTTGCCATTAGATGCATTCTGCTTCATGGGTTGACAGTGGTGGGATTTGTTCATCTGACTTAACTGAGATTTGTTGTATTTGATTTAAATCCTTATACAGTTGCCAGATGCATACATCAGTTTTATATATTACAAAATTATTTGAGTTAATACTTTCACCAAAATTTAGGAGGCCACTATGGCCTGAGTAAGTGGGTATGAGGGAGGGAAGTGAATGTATACCAATTTTTGAGAGGAAACGTTGAATGATGTCCACTGGGAAGACAGTTTGGATTTAACATGAGGTTATAGAATGGGAGGTGGATAGAACTGGCTTCAGGATAATGTCCAGTGGTGGGCGTTGGTGAACCTTTGCTTTGTACGATTTGTATTTCTAGTAGGTACTTCACGGCCTAATGTAGTTTTATTTTGATAAGCTTAGAGCCCTGCTGTCTTACATGCATGGTGTCATTGATATTGTCTTTTTGTAAGAGTAGTACTCCTTTACCCCTCCATTTAGCTAAGCTGTTTCCTGATGATGGCAAACCAGATAATTTGAAAGACATTAACATTTTACAGCCATTGACATGCATATAATTCCTTCCAGAAGGCCTGAATATCTTGGTTTCTATAATTGTATTTTGACCAGAGGTGGAACTTTGTATCTGTTTTAAATGTTCACACATATTATTCTGATACTTTTTTAAATCACCCTTATTCTTGAATAAAATTGTAAGAAATATTTTGACATTATTCCCTATAACATTTGCCTGAAACGTGTCTTTGTTTTGTAAACACTTCATAAGGAAATTCAGTTTGTCCTTTGAAGTTGCAGTTCAACGCAGAATTGTCTGTCTTTGTCTTAGATTGCCCGCTAGAGAGGAGTATAAATGTGTGTATATGCATGTTGGCACCCAGATTCAAATAATTAAAGCTTTTATTTTAATACCAGATGTTAGCTTAATGATGCAGACATATAATATATCCACTTAGTTATTAGAAATAGTCAGGTGTGCTTATGTGCACACTAGCACCAAATGTAGACTGCAGTAGTACTTACTGGTACGTGCATCAAGAACTTACGAGGGGGGACCCAAAAATAACCGGAACCGACCTGTTGCATGCGCATGCTTTGTAGTTATGAGTTGTGCTGCTAGGTGGTGTTAGCTGGGGGTCCCCCGCGACTGTTAGTGAGCTGGTGTCAGTCTGAGTTAAGTGGTTTGTCTGTGGTGCTCTGTTGTGTGCGTTCCTGTTTCAGCCCTTTGGCGATTAGTGAGATGGCCGACCAGAAGGAACAAAGAGAGTGTGTGAAATTTTGCTTTCTGTTAGGGAAAACTGCAGCCGAGACTGTTGGGATGCTTCGGCAAGCCTTTAATGATGATGCTTTGGGGAAATCACAGGTCTGCGAGTGGTTTTCCCGTTTCAAATCTGGCAGCATGTCAACAGAAGACATGCCACGCCCCGGGCGTCCTTCGACAGGAAGAAATGACGAAAACATTGCCAAAATCAAACGTGCAATTGATGAAGATCGTCGAAAGACCATTGACCAACTTTCTGAGGAAACGAACATCTCATGGAGCACGGTCCAGCGAATTTTAACCGAAGGTTTGCACATGAGACGGGTGTCTGCAAAATTTGTTCCTCGCTTGCTCGGAGATGACCAAAGAGAAAACCGCGTGAATGTTTGCCGCGACTTGAAGAGTGAAGTGCAGAACGATCCAGAATTTCTTAAAAGAATTGTGACTGGCGATGAGTCTTGGTGCTACGGAAAGCAAAATTTCACGCACACTCTTTGTTCCTTCTGGTCGGCCATCTCACTAATCGCCAAAGGGTTGAAACAGGAACGCACACAACAGAGCACCACAGACAAACCACTTAACTCAGACTGACGCCAGCTCACTAACAGTAGCGGGAGACCCCCAGCTAACACCACCTAGCAGCACAACTCGTAACTACAAAGCATGCGCACGCAACAGGTCGGTTCCGGTTATTTTTGGGTCCCCCTTCGTATGTGTAATGTGCTCTTCTTCTTTAAATTTGCTGTAAGACTTGGCTCTTGTGTTCCTGCTGACCTTGGAGAGGAAGTGTCATTGACTCCTTGTTATAACATTGTTAACCAGAAAACAGTATTCTCTCTACAACTGTAAAGTTATCTGTATTTTGTTCCTTTGCAGATTACCATTGTTTTCAACGAAAGTTATGTGAAGAAAAATGTGAAACAGTGTTTGGAAGTTATTGTATTTTTATGAAGCAGGAAAACTTTAGTTGGTGTTCTATTGACAGTCTTGGGCATTGTAATTTTTATCTTTTCCCTGTTTCCTGAACTGAGACCATGTTTCTGTTAAAGAAACAGATGCTGTAACAGAACTTGGGTGCATATAGTTATATATGTGGTTTTATTTGGATTGTTGTTGAGATAGAAGTTGAGATTGATTTATACACATTTCAAGCATACTGTATGTATTGTGCTATATAGGGGCTGTGTAATTGTTGCAGAAACAGTAAGCAGATTAACCTTCCATGGAAGCAAAGACACAAGTGGGGATGGAAAGGTGAGGTTGTTTGCACAATTTATTTTAGTATGCTGTAACATATAAATTAATTTTGAGCTGGAGAAGCTTCTGTCATTCAATAAAATTGTAACTGAAAAATGTTAATTTCTTTAAATAAAATATATATGACTTTGGTAGACAGTTGTTAAGTATAACATTCAGAATGAAAAGCAAAATCATTGATTATGATTGCTGTGAGAGAATGAACTGGATTGACCCAGCTGAGGATCATGGTTGGAGGTGGTTTTGGCGTTCATGGTGTTTGGCTCCTGGCACCATATAATTAATTAAATAATTTCTTTAACTCCTCTCAACTTTATCATATTTATGCTTTTATTTTCATATAAAGATCATTTCAAAAGCAATGCACACTTAAATGTAATCACCATTCTGCCTTATGTTTGTGTGCCAGCACTTACTAATCTTGCATACCTGTCAGCAGGCTCGTCATAGCTCTGGTCTCTTGTGTGGTCATCTTGATACTTCAGAACTGTTTTCCTTGCACTGGTTTCTTCAAACTTGAAAACATCATAGTCTGGCAAGCTTGTGTCAAGTCTGTATGGGAGGTAGAGAAGCTTTTCTCAGTTGTGCCTACTTTGTGTGGCCCTGCATTCTCATGTGGGCTGAGAGTTCTGTCCACAGATATTAGTTTTGGGGGAGGCAAAAATGGAGGTGTATTTCCATAAGTCATGTTATGGTGTTCTTCCGGAATTCTGTTGACAGTAACCACCAATGTGGTGTTTGTTTTTGATGATCTCCCACTGCTTGGATCATCTGAGATGTTATTGTGACTGGCATGAGAGCATAATGGCCACTGAGATACTGTGCAGGAAACCGCTGTATTGTCCCACATATTGCATTTCACTGTGAATCAGACATGGGTTTTCATTCCTGAAAATAAGAATGTTGATGGATGTGACACTTGACCAGAAATATTTTTGTTCCCCATTTTGGAACCTCATGCAGCAAGAAGAAGTAAAGAGACCAGTGTTTCTGCTTAGAAGCAGAAGGATGTCATCATCTGGTTCTTCTGCATTGCTTTTGAAATGATCCTTTTATGTTTATATTAAAATAGTGGAACAAGATAATGTGAAAAGAATATGTGAAACAGAAAGTTAAATGTAGATTTTGCACACCATCAGTGTTATAAATTTATATTATATTTCTGAAGTTGCCATAAAATTTGTACGACACACCTTCAGCACTACCTTAAATAGCTCTTTCATTGTAGAGGGATCTTGTTAGAAGTTTAACAGGTTTGAAGATGTGACTGTGACGTATACCGAGTTTCATATAAGAAATCCAGCGGTTTAAAAATTATGGGTGGAACAGGCATGCCCTTGAACATACCTTAAGCACACCTTTCCTTAAAAATAAAATATAGCTTGAACAGTAGTGACTCAGGTACTTTAGTAATGATGGGGTTGCATAGTTGGTTGAGGCACTATGCTACAAACCGGAAGGTCACGGGATCAAATCCCAATGAGGTGAATTTTTTTCAATTTACCTGATACTTCCAGCCACACTGGCCCTGGGGTCAACTCAGCCTCTAACAGAAATGAGTACTAGGAATATTCCTGGGGGCAAAGGGCTGCCGCACCTAAGGCTGACAACCTCACTGCCATCTGTGAGCCGATTGTCTAGAAAATGTGAGAGCCTCAACATCTCACAACCCTATGGGCCTCCACGGCCTGATACAGGCATACCTTTACTTCACTTTTTTTACTTTACAAAATTTTGTATTAGTCTTTCTTTCGTTCTTTCTTCCTCCAGTCGCAACCATTTGACTGTGGTTCCCTGGTTCCCTTAATTTACTGTGTTATGGTCATAGATACTCACTTGTCAAGTTCTCTGTGTTTATTTAGGATTTATTTATTGATGCTGCCAGTAGTCCAGAGTGTATAATATTGTGGCTATATACGCATTGCTAACCTGACTAAATAACAGCCTTGCTATGCATTAGGTGAATAAACAGACCCCTGTATTTTTGGGAGAATTCAATGGAAATGTGGTTCGTGGGAAAATATTATAAGCAGGGTAATTTGAGTTCCGAAGTAGAGTGTTGTCAGCAGTTTGGTTTAGTGAAGCGACGAGAAGTAGTTGGTGAGTGAGAGAGAGTTCAGTTGTTAGTTGGAAGTCAGCCTGTGGAGAGAAAACTAGGAGGTTGGTTGAATTGTTAGTTGACAACAGTTCTGAATGAGCAGCTGTGGCAAGAGGACCTGAGTGTGGGAAGCTGAAATATCTCCACATTATTAAATCTGTTGCCAGGAAATGGCTAATGGAGACTATAATGCACTGAAAGGACTTAATTTGCAGTGATTTGTAGTGTGGAAATCAGCAATAATGTTATAGTTATTTGTAGTTGCGACCTGTACATGGTCAGTAAATCTATTCATCAAACCAAACCCCATCTATAGTCACCCCTAAATCGTGACAATATTGTGACATGACTCCTGAATGCCGGAATAATTCATTGCTAGGCAATGTCTCTGTAAACAGGTACCCACGAAAATGAATATGCATGCAACAATAGAACTGTCATTTGTGTGCAACGGCGAGATAAGCATGCCTCTATAAAATTAGAGGAATTGTTAGAAACGGTGTATTCTGCTGGTGCTGACCCGAGGCTGTATAACGAGATCCCAGAATAACGCAGTTCAGTGGAGACTTGAAAGTTAGCCTGTCAACAGATGACTTTGCGTGTGATTTGAAGACTTCATGTTTAGTGTAGTTGCAATGAGACTTTTTTAAATCCGTTACCTTTTGGCCTCTGCAATGCTTTGGCGGCATTTGAGAGGTTAATTCGAGGCAGTTTTGAGGGCTCATGTGTCTTATACCTGGACGTGATTGTGATTGGCCGCATGTTCCAGGAACAATTGCTCAACTTGTGGAAAGTGTTCCAGCCGTTCCGAGAATCCCGCATAAAGCTCAGTCTGGAGAATGCCACCTCTTTCAGAAAAAAAGTGTGATACCTCGGGCATATTGTGTCACCTGAGGGTATAACCACCGACCCGTAGAAGCTGAAAGTCATACGGGAATGGCCTACACCGAAGAATGAGCATGAAGCACAGCACATATTACAGACGGTTTATTTCCGGTTAAGCCAAGATTGCGAAATCGCTTACCAAACTTACAGAGCAGAAGCAACCCTTCTGGTGGACTCCAGAAGTAGAGGCTGCCTTCCAAGCACTAAAGGAGGCCCTTTGTACTGCCCTTATTCTTGCCTACTTGCAGCCAAGAGAGAGGTTCGTCATTGACACAGACGCAAGTAAGGTCGGGATTGCAGAAATGCTCTCCCAGGCACAGGATGGACAGGAGCGTGTAATAGCCTACTACAGTAAGGCTGAACAAGGCAGAGAGAGAAATTACTGCTTCGCCTGAAGGGAACTACTTGTCATCGTGAGGACACTGGAACATTTCCATTAGTACCTCCACAGACACGAGTTCCACCTGCGCACCACCCACTCTGCATTGACTTGGCTCATGAATTTAAGAACGATGAAGGACAAACAGCACTCAGGATTCAGCGCCTGCAGGAGTACGGCTTTACTTCCAAGCACCGGCAAGGCCAAAAACACAACATTGCAGATGTCCTTTAACGACGACACTGCCAAGAGGAATGTACCCGGTGTCACAAAGTCGAGGCATGGGCAGACGTCAAGGAGGTACGAGCTATTGCAGCTGCAGCCAGCTGGGATCCAGCGGATCTTGAGAAGTGAACAACTGAACGACCAATACATAGAGTAAATTCTGGAGGAAGCAGAGACTGGACAGTGACTAGAATGGAAAGACATGGCCGACCACAGGCCCACATAACAAAAGCTACTGTGCCCATTGGAAATTCCTCGCTGTGAAGATCGGCATACTGGAGAGCCACTGGGAATCCGACGACAGACGATCTGAGATAGCTCACATAGTTCTTCCCCAGAGCAAAGTGAATGACGTGCCGACCGAATTACACGATGGAGAGCATCAGGTCACTTGCGTGTCAGCAAGACCGTCGATAAGGTCCGGCAAAGGTAGGGTGTACTGCTGGCTTCAGGCAATAAGCGATGTTGAGAAATGGTGCCGACAGTGCAACACCTGTGCAGCCATCTGCGGTTTCCGGAATCGGGGACAAATGCATTAGCGTAACGTAACGTTGGGGCCCCGTTCGAATGATAGGCATTGATGAAGTGGAGCCCTTCCCACGGAACGACCAAGGAAACCTGTGTGCTTTGAATGCTATGGATTATTTTGTGAAATGGTCAGAAGCCTACACCATCATCAGCCAGGAGGCCTCAACATTGGTTGGAGCGTTGTTTGCGAATTTCTGCGGCTTTGGAGTACCGCAGGAACTACATAGTGACCAGGGCCATAACTTGAGAGTCTCGTCCGATACAGGAGGTCTTGCTACGCCTGGGAGGAAGCAAGACGTGCATCACTCCCGCCCCTGCACCCGCAGTCGGATGGCATGGTGAAACGCTGTGTCTAAACGGTCGAGGAGCACCTACAAAAGGTCGTCGCATCCCACCAGAGGGATTGGGACGTAAGTTTACCCATCTTCCTAGCTTACAGGACATCCACTCACAACAGTACGGGCTTAATCCCAACTACCCTAGTCTTTGGGAGAGAGCTCCGACTGCCCTGATACCTGCTGTTCGGGTTGCCTCAAGGCAAGGAACAACCCACAGTTGATCATGCGGTAAATGTAGTGGACCATCTACACGACATCCACAGTAATGTCCGCCAACGCCTGAAGGTGGCCATTGACCCAAAGAAAACACGTTATCACAGACTGGCCAACTGCACTGGCTACTATGAGGCAACAAAGTGTGACTCTGTCACCCAACCGGCATGAAAGGGAAATCACTCAAGTTCCAAATCTCATTGGAGGGCCCATACAGAGCAGTCGGCCAGATAAATAATGTGATATACAGGATCCAGAGGAACCTTAGATTGAGATTGAGATTGATGGTGGTATACCTGAAGCAGCTCGCACCTTATTAGGGAGCCGTCGGGATGAGCGGCCTTAAGGAAGAGACAGTGGAAGCGGTTGGAGATTAAATACCGCGGATAAAACCGAGCTATGGGAAGGAAGGTGAAACCATGCACATCCCTTGGAAAGGGGAGAAATTGCGGTACGCCTGTAGGCCATCTTGTCGAATAGCTTTAAGGAAGGAGCAATATGACATGATGCCTGAAAGCCGGAATAGTTTATTCCTAGGTAACGGCTCAATAAACAGGTTTCCGTGGAAATGAACACACACGCAACAATAGTAGAACTGCCGTAACTATGCTACAGCGCGGTAAACAAACCTCTATAACAATAGAGGAATTCCTGAGAAACGGTATTTTCTATTGGGGCCGAATGATGGTTACATAAGTACTATTACCGCAAGGAAAAGGGAATACATAAATGATGCCCCCCAAACACATGGTGTTCACATGGCCCTCTTTGCAGACCACACCTGTCTGTATGCGACAGATCGCAAGGAGGTTTTTATTATTAGAAAACTCCAGCACGGTCATAGCTCAATGGAGACCTGGTGTGAGAGCTGGAATATTAAAATTAATGAAGATAAGANAGCGCTAACATTAAAATGACCCTCCACAAAGCTCTCATTATATCCGTAATGACTTATGCTAGTCCCGCCTGGGAATTCGTGGCAGACACTCATCTAGTGAAATAGCAGCGTCTACAAAACAGGGTTCTCCATATCATTGGCAATTTTCCAAGGCGCACACTGGTCCGCGATTGCACATAGCATTTAAAATCCCGTATGTATATGACTATATATCAAAATTATGCAGGAAACAAGCAGAAGTCATACAAAATCATGAAAATGAGAATGTTCGTAAGATTGGACAAGGCGAAGCCAGACACAGAAAATATAAGAGGCTTAAACTTGGCGGCGGTCAGACATACGACCGTTCAAGTGACTGGACTGCCGTGGTAGCGAATACTACTATAAATAGGACATAATCTGCTGTACTGACCCTGGATTGACAGAGGCCTTGTATATATTGTACATAGAAATAGGAATTAAGATTAAATTTGTAAATATATGTAAATACTGACAATGGACTTACTAATACGGACTCTGAGTGACAAATGACAGACGCGACCTCTCGTCAGAGAGGGCACTCCAAATGAACAGGACAGTAACTTTGATATAAGAAAAAAAATCTGTTGACACCAAGACAGACAGACAGACTGACGAAGTGTCAGTCGCAATGTGACTTGGACTTGGCCTTGGAAAAAGGAAGTCTCAAATCTAAGACAGTAAAATATGGTCACGAGTACCAAGGGAATTGGACCTGAGAAAGACTGCTCTGGCAAGGGCTAGCAACATATACAAAAGACAGACCCGTCCTCTCGTCAGAGAGGGCGCCCCAAAGAAACGACCATAACTGTCAAACAGTAATAAGCTTGAAAGTCAGCCAGTGAAGAGAAGACTTAGCATGTAATTTGAAGATTTTATATGTGTGTTGTAGTTAAAGTGATAACTGCTATAAAGTTGTTGCCAGGATATGGTTAGTGAAGTCTGAGAAGACTTAGTATGTCGTAGGGCCGCACCATAGCTCAAGTGGTTAGTCGCTGGCTTCCCACCACGGCGGTCCGGGTTCGATCCCGGGTCTGGTCAAGTGGGATTTGTGGTGGACAAACTCGCTGGGGCAGGTTTTCTCCGAGTACTTCGGTTTCCCCTGCCAATCTTCATTCCACCAGTTGCTCCACAATCACCCTCACCTATCATCATGGCCTGGTACAATAGGCCAGAAGTGGCCGCAGTACAAGGGACTCAGTCCCACCCCACTAGCAATAGTATGTTCTAGTGATTTGTTGTGTGGAAATCAGCAATAGTGTTTTAATTACTTGTAGTTGTGAGTTGAGTGTATAAGTGGAATAACTCCAATCCAAACGCTGTCTGTAGTGACACACCCTAAAGCACATGACAGTACAGAATGGTAAGATTATTAGTGAATAATTAATTGAAAATTATAAGGGTGTTGTCATTTTGGGGGTACGTTTCCTCGAACCATTGGACCTGAATAGGAAGCAAGAGTGTTGACAGCATGCAGGCTCACGTGTTAAAATAATTCTCAAATGCTTATTATCCTTGCTACAAGAAGCCATCAGTGGCCTCTACCCTTAGATAAATCTATTTGATGCCCTTACAACATATTTCTTTAAAATTCTTTCAATGATAACTTTATTTTTATTGTACCGTTAAAGTTTGTTGATACAGTTTTTGTATTCTGTTACTGTCTACTAATTATTGCAGAGATCTTGAAGAATGAAAGATGGCAAGCAGTCTGTTGAGGCACAGTTATTATTTGATCTTTCTTACACTGTGACATCATTGTTTCATAGAATGAAAGCTCTGCAAATGTTAACTAATTTGTTTTCTTTTATGATACAGAACAAGTCCTATGATGAGAATGGCAATGCTGTCCAACAGAATTACCGCCTTGAATCTACCAACAGTAATGACCGCAAGAGCAAGCAGCGCAGGATGAAGGTATGCCTCCCCAGTGAAACAGCCATTACATCAGCATAATTCTTGTAACTGAAATCTTGAATCTTACTTACAGAAGAATGGGGAAGGCAGCTCTCTTGGTATATTTTAATGGTGTTTCTTGATCTTCGATTTGTTCCAATTCAGAATTTTTTCTTAATCTTCTGGCCTCGTAACTTTAGTTAATTTTAATTTTGAATAACAGTATTGACATCAGTTCATACTTTATGAGAGACAGTGGTTCATGATTATGTCTTTCCCCATAATGTTTTTTATGCTTTGTTGAGTATGTTAAACAAAATTGGGTTCTGATTGGAGGAATAAATGTGTCCGATACAAAATAAATAAATATGTTTGCTGAAGACTAGGGTATATGTTTTATATACACACACATTTTATGCATTATTATACGTGGTGCAATCCAAAAGTTCCCGAAATATATTAATAAAAACTATTACATCTTACCTAGATCTTATTCTGCACCATCACCTTCAAAGTAGTCCCCTTGGGAGCGCATACAGCGATCTCAGCATTTCTGCCACTTTTCAGATGCATCCTGGAAGTCTTTCTTTGTTAGGGTGTTTAGTACTGTCTGCGTTTCTGCTTGAATTTCCTCAACTGAATCAAATCTTCGCCCCTTCAACTTGATTTTCATCTTGGGGAAGAGAAATAAGTCGCATGGAGCTAAGGCTGGCGAGTACGGTGGGTGGGGAACAACTGCCATCTTGTTTTTAGCCAAAAATTCCTGCACAGTGTAAGCCGTATGTGGTTGTGCATTGTCATGGTGGAGTATCCAGTCGTTCGTGCGCCACTTCTCTGGACGTTTTCTCCTCATGTCCTCCCTCAAACGCCTTAGAACATCGCGATAGAACTCTTTATTGACTGTCTGACCAGGAGGAAAGAACTCCTTATGAACAATCCCTTCAATATCAAAAAAAGATCAACATGGAATTAATGTTGCTCTTGACTTGTCGAGCTTTTTTTGGCGGAGGTGAAGAAGGGCTCTTCCATTGTGACGATTGCTGCTTGCTTTCAGGGTCATAGCCATAAACCCAACTTTCGTCGCCAGTGACAACCTTCGAAAGAAAGTTTGGATCCTCTTGAAACTGTTGTTGAAGTTTCCTGCAGACTTCCAAGCGATGCTGCTTCTGTTCATTTTGCAGCAGTCGTGGCACAAACTTCGCCACAATCCTCCTCATGTTCAGTTCCTCTGACAAAATTCGTTGACATGTACCATAACTTAGTCCCAAGGTGTTACAGAGGTCTTGGATGGTCAGTCTACGATCTTGCAGAATCAGATCCCTAACTTTTGCGACATTTTCTGGTGTTTTACCCGTTGACGGCCGTCCCAAATGATCGTCATCATCAGTCAATGTTCGGCCATTTTTAAAACGCTTATACCAGTTGTAAGTTTGTGTCTGGCCTAAACTGTTTCACCAAAAGCTTGCTTCAACATTTGGTAAGTTTCTGCAGTGGTTTTCCCAAGTTTGAAACAAAACTTTATACAGACATGCTGCTGTCTGAGGTCAGCCATTGCAAAACCGCAAACTCATGGAAACACAACAATGGAAATACGTTCACCAACAATAAATCCAACCACTCAACTCGACGCTGCTTGACACACTGATTCAAGAAGGATGTGTGAGGAGACACCTAGCGGTATTTCGATGTACTCATGACCATTCGCGCGCAAAATTCAAATTTTGGAAACTTTTGGATTGCCCCACGTATATTACTGTAAATGAAATACAGCAGCTAGTTCAGTTATGTTTTTGTTAACTAGTGTATAAGATGGGTAGAGTTGGGAAACGACAGTTGATAGATTGTGGAAATTAGGTACATTTGTGAGTTGACTTTTAGGATTTGCTGATCAGAAAGGTTAGTGTAATAAACTGATTTTTTTATGAGTTGAATTAACTTGCAAGGAAACTTTGTTCTGAAGGGCAGTTAACTATCAGTAATAAACCATAGGCCTTGTGAACATAATGTGTGTTGTGTGTTGCAGACAAACAATGACCGCAATGTAATAATGTCTCAGAACATTGAAGGGTATCGTGGTGACAAGGACATCGAAAGTTTAATTGAGTTTATTGAGTCAAACAAAGAGAGCAAGGGGAAAACAAAGAACAACTCTGCCCATAGCAATGGGACAGTAGGCTTTGGCAACAAACAGCAGCGGAATAATGTGCGAAGAGAAGAAGTTGTTACTGGGACTAAGGCTCGGCGAGAGCGAGCTATTGAAGATGGTCAGGATGAGGAGAAAGCATCTGGTAAGAACAGAATTGGGGGTAAACAGAGTTCCAAGGATCATAGAGGGAGTGATAAAGTTGGTGGTGATGTTGGTAGTTCAGGACAGATGAAAAAATCCAACAGTTTAGAGGAGATCTCCAAAACGAAGTTGGAGGACTTGACAGCAGAACAGGTTGGCACCAGCTCAGCATCTGACTCTTTGACTTTCTCAGCACAAGTGACTCTGCGGCGACCAAAGAAGCAAGCAACATTAGACGACGATGAATTGTACGGTGAGAAAGGCGAAACACCTGATCATACGTTATGGGGTACAGAAGACATACCACAGTACTTCAGCAATGATGGGTCAGCCACTGCATCAGCTGATGAGAGTGGCCCAGTGGCTGCTAGTGGTCGAAAGCGACGAGGAATTGTGGATGAAAAGAGGAAGCCTGAAGATGGAGTCCCAGCTGTTGTTGTGTCGGCTGCTGCATCTGAAGAAACAGAGTTTCACGTGGTGACGAAAAAGCAGAGACGCAAGAAGAAACGTAGTAGCAGTGGTAGTCGTGCTGGTAGCAGTGCTGGTGGACATGGCGGTCTTTTTGGTGATGAGAATAGACGTCCAGCTGTGTCACAGTATGGACACTCATACTACCAAAACAGAGGGGATTCTCAACGCAAGGGCTTTGTACCTGGAAGTGGCTTTCCCCCACATGACCGTACAGTAGAGCGTGAAGGGGGCAGTGTTATGCTATATCAGTATAATCGTTCTCGATCACCTGAGCATCTTCGCCGCAAGTCAACATCCAGCATGCCTCCATCGGACAAGTCAGACAGCAGTGATCTCGATAGCGTGCACTCCCTCCCTGTGTCTTCTACAACTCCTAAATTGGCCCTGGATCAGACCTCCACATCTAGTGGATCAACACCACAAGCTTCATATGCTGACATCACCCGGATGGCATCTTCAAATGTGAATTCCCCTTCCAGCACGCAGGGAAGCTGCAACATCGGTGCAGGAAAATGGCCCACGATGACTACAACCAAAAGTCAGGCAGTTTCTCCACCAGCCACCAGTACCTGTACCTCTACCACTACCACTACCACTACAACCACAACCATTTCCTCTACGGTCATTTCTTCCGCTAATATTACAGTCTCTAGTGCTTGCATCAATACTAGTACAACCTCAGTCCCTGCAGTAGCTACACCTCTTGCCTTGAACAATCCGCAGTTCATTACTGGGCCAAAACTCAATATTGGAGTTCCTCCTGTCAGTGGATCCAAGGCAACTGTATCCACTTCAGCCAACCCTAGTAATAATGTGACCTGTACTAGTAGCAGTAATTCTGTGCCCCAATCTAATTCTCTCACTTCAGTTACCTCAAGTGATGCAGCATCATCATCGTCAACAGTGGCTTTGAATCAGAATCCTGAGTCTTCATGTAATCCTGCTGTATCTTCTAGACATAGAAACAATCCCCCTTTGCCTGATCCCCGTACTAAGAAAGATGCTATGACGAGCACGACTTTAGACTATAAACTGATTCCTGTGGAAGAATATAACCCAAGTCATAGGCTACAAGCTGCAGTTAATAAACCTACTGAGCACCTGCCCCCCTCTCCAAATGTAATAATGGACAGCTACTACCCTTCATTGGAAGAGAGTTTGGTTGCAGACAAAGTGGACCGTAAGCCAGGCAGGTGTAGTAATCCCTGTAGTACTTCCAGCAGGTTACCTGCAGAAGAAACCCCCTCCACTACTGTAGCCCCTTTTAATGTCAGTGCTTCAGAACCTGAGAACTGTGGTAAGGGACCCAGACATGTAGATATTTGTAGTGAAATAAGAGTGAAGCAGCAACCTTTAGAAGCATCTGTGATAGCTCCAAGAAGCAGCTTGTGCTCTGCTGGGGAACCAGTTGCCCCAGAAGTGTCGGTTGCTAGTGCTCCTACTGTGATGTCATCAAACTTGAACCGATCAAAGGAGGCAATGTTTAGGTCAAAAGGTAGTAGTAGAAAAGTTTCTTCTGCTAGCAGCATTGTTGAGGCATCATCTTCAGTTCGTCCACCAGTCATCATAATGGATGAACAAGAGCAGGAAGCTGCTTTCAGGGAAAATGTAGGAACAGTTAGTGAATTGACTTTTGGGTTTGAAGTAAACGAACAGCTGCTGCTCTCAGATGCTGATGAGAACTCACGATCTGCCAGTGCTGAACCACCCGGTGCTGTGGAGGAAGCGGTAGTTAGCATAAGCCCAGTAACTGGAAGCATAACATCAGATGTGCCATTGCCAGAGGAGACTACGACTATGGTGCCCACCATCAGCATCAGTGCTAGCGAAGATTTCTCTGCCCGGTATCGTGAGCCACCTACGCAACAGGCTGACAACCATGATCTAATTGTTGCATTTGTTGGACAAGGTAAGTGAAATTCAGTTTAACAAGTTGAATTGTTTTAGTTTCTGTGAAGTTGGTTGTGAGGTCATAGTCTAGAGTGTTTGGTGGCACATAGCTCATTTTAAAAATGTACCAAGTACAACATTTCAAGAGCTACATGTTTTGAAGTGCTTTAACTTTTCATATAATTATGAAGGGTAAGATGGTGAATTTTTAAAAGACACTTAGGCATACAATGGCTTTTATGTAGATTATTATGATATTGTGTTGAATGGTAGTATGATTATTGAATAACTGATTGGAATGGATGTGTAAGGAAGCAGTTGTTTTCTAATTTGAGGTACTGTCCTGGCATTTGCCTTGAGGAGTTGAGGAGGGTGGTCAGTGTCATGACCAAAATTTGAAATAGGTACATCCTAGATACAGGTTGGAAGAAGTACCGCGTGAGCTATCTTGCTCAGTAAGTCCAGTGTTATAGTTTCTACTTTGAAAGTCCTGTGTGCATCATCATGATCCAGCAGTTATTCTGCTTTGATTTGAACGGTGAAGAATGAGAGCTCATGATATAGTTCCAGATCCAAGGTGAAGAAGACCGGTAGAACTCAAAATATGAAAAGATCGTGCCATAATAGCTATAATGGACTGGGAAGCCTACTGGGAAGGGTAACTGTGGCAGATATTTTGAACCCTTGATCCTCTTATTAAAATGGTATATACTGGCATTGAATTTTGTGCAAGCATTTTTGCCTAGAATTAGGATACATGCAGTTTACGGATAATTTATGGAATTGTAATATTTTAAACTGAACATGGAAAGTATTTAGCATTTCTTAAAATAAAGCATGTTTGACAGATTGATTGCAGGTGCATATACACAGTGTGTCCAGGTTCTGTTAGGACTGTGTTCATTAAAAATACAAGACGTGAATTATTTTCAAAATTTCACTCTTTTTATTCAAAATAGTCTCCTTCTGAATCGATACATAGCTGGAATAGATTAAATTTTCGAAAACAGTCACTGTACTCCTTTTGTGTAATCGCATTTAAAACTGTGATACAGTCCCTTTGGATGCCCTGGATGGTGTCGTGACGGTCTCTTTTCATCACCAACTTATCTTTTGGGAACAACCAGAAATCTGCTGGAGCCAAATCTGACGAATAAGGAGGATGATCAAGGAGTGTGATCCCTTTGCTGGCCAAAAAATCGCGCACGATCTTCGATTTGTGGGGTGGGGCATTGTCGTAGAGGAGCGACCAGGAACCTTGCTCTCGATATTCAGGTCAAATTCGAAGAATTCTCGCCCACAAACAATTGAGGACTCTGAGATAATAATCAGAATTCACTCTTTGACCATCTGGCAGAAATTCATTTTGAATGATTCCTTTGGAATCGAAGAAAATGGTTAGCAGTGTCTTTACCAGACTCTTTTGCATGTGCACTTTTTTTGGTTTCGGCTTCTTTGGGCTCAACCATGCTGCACTCTGCCACTTTGTGAGAGGCTCATATTGAAAACATCATGTCTCGTCACCAGTAACAATCGATTTTGTAAATTTTGTATTGCTTTGGGCCGACTGTAACATGTCTTTGCAGTGTTCTACTCTGGCATGTTTTTCATCGCCTGACAGCTCATGCGGCACAAACCACGCACAGAACTTCTGTTTGCCCAAACCCTCAGTCAAAATTTGATGCACAGTACTTTTTGGTATTCCCAAAAGCTCCTTGGTGGGTCTTGCAGAAACACATCTGTCTGATGCAAGGATTTCGGTCACTATTTTCACATTTTCTTCAGTGCAATTTTTGTTCTTGGCTCTTTGATGCATGTGGAGCATCTTCATTGTCCTCCCTGCCATCACAAAATACAGCATACCATTGAAAAATGTTCGAGCCACTCAAACAGTCACTACCATAGACATTTTTCATCATTTCATATGCTTCTCCGGCTGTTTTGGAGCAGTCTTTTGTTTGATTCTGTTGCATCTTTATGTGAGTATTGATAATATTTTTATGTGGATCTATGTAAAGGAAATGATTTATGTTTGGCCCTTTGTGCATGTTATTCATGGAAGATGCAGCAGTATGTATGAATGCATAAGAATGCAGGAGAAGGGATTAGTACCAAAGCGTATACAACAAATGATGAGACATCCTTCTCAGATCTCCAAGGGTGGTAACACGAGTAACTTAAACATTTTTTCACAGTATTTACGAAGTTAAAATAAAATGTTGAACTGCATTTTTATGTATTTGCGGCCGCCTCTGTGGTCTAGTTCCTGGCTACAGATCCAGAGTGCCCGGGTTCGATTCCCAGCACTACCAGATTTTCTGAGAAGTAGTCTGTCTGGAAGAGGGTCCACTCAGCCTTGTGAGGATAATTGAGGAGCTATTTCATTGAAATAGCAGATCTGATATAGAAAACCGGGATTAACGGCCATGGGGATCCGTTGCACTGACAATGTGACACCTTCTATCCGCAAAAGTTGGCACTAACTTCGCCAACAAGCGGCGGTCACTTGGTCAGTATAGTTCACTTGCGGACTACAAGCCGTGGAGTTTGTTTGTATTAGGTGTATATGTGTGAAGTGAATTTGCTGGTAAATTAGACTTTCTGCATCTTTCATATGGCAGTAATATTTACACACACACACACACACACACCTTATTTGATGGAGTGCATGTTGAGAGCACACTTTCTCAAGCTTACTGGATGTGAATTTGAAGTTTATAAACCACTTTCAAACAAATATGAGTTCGAAAATTTGTTCAAGTTCATATTCTAGCTCATTGTGTTATATTGAGAAAATATATGATTTAGATTTAATCAGTTTTTCTTGATATGCGTATGTTTTCTTTCAGCCTGGGAAGATGTGATGAAGGAGATGAGTGCCTCTCTCTCGCAAGCAGGTGGCAAAGTTCAGTACTACAGTGGTCAGTGAAAATGGCTTTGAAGGATACTGTCTTGCTCTTCTTCCTTTTTGCATTTTGCAGATATTTAATTTCTTCAGAGGGGGGAGCAGTGCTTCAAATGTGATTTGCATTTATATTTTGTGAGTAGTAAGCTTTGAAAATTTATAAAAAGAGTTGTTCATATTACATGGTGAGGAAGTACGTAAAAATAGTGAACGTTTTATCTTTTCCAAGAGATAAAAAATGTGTATGAAACATTTGCGCGAACGTAAAAACGTGAAATAAAAAGTGGTGGCCACCTGAATATGGAAAGTGAACCATCATTGCTTTAAATTTAGCCAAAGGCATCACAGATCTTGCGAACAGTGTGATGAGATTGGCTCGTGCTAATCCAGTCTTGCTTTGAAAACACATATTTTGTGAAGTAATAGTGGCACAAGCAGGCATCGCTTCTCGAGATTTTATGCTCGACAATAATGTGGAATTAAGCGTGAACTATAGCAGAAGTTGTTGGCTCATTAACTGCACATGGTGTTTTGGTCTGTAATGTGATATTACATTGGCAGTGAGTGTGTCGGTTGTTGAAATTTATGGTACTGTTCCTTGTTTCTGATAGAAGTGCTGACAATTCTTGATCTCGAGGGGGGGAAGTAGTCACTACAGAATAATAACTGTACTGATTGTTGACTGGTATTAGGAAGATATGTGAATGGTTTGTTTTTGAAAACAATTTAATTGGAAGAAATTAGTTTCTTCTGTGGCAGGGTAATATGTATTGTTGGGGAGGGCACCATGGAACACCCGAGGTATGAACAAGGGAACCCCCCTTCCATATTCATTTGAATCACATCACCACCATTTGTGCATCTACATACACACAAAATGATGATAAAGCAAGAACTGAAGCCTAATTTTAAGGTGACAACTTTTATTTCAGAAAAAAAAGTTGCTTACTTGCATTGTTTATTTTTGTTGCAGGAAATAGAATGTGACATGGACTTTTTCAGTCAGTCAATAATGGAAGTATTGCTTTCAAACTAATAAAAAATCAGGTTAAAAAATGAAAAAAAAAGTCCTTCCCAACCTTCCCCCCCCAAAAAAAAAAGAAAGAAAGAAAGAAAGAAAGAAAGAGCTGAATTGCAGCTGTTAACATTTGCTGTGGTATATTGTATCTGCTTGCCATATTGTGGTATAGCATCTATTTGTGTTGTTAGTCCAGCAGCTGGAAGCATTACTGTCAACTCGTATCTTCAAACAGTTGCAGCATAATACAACTTTTTTCACTTTGCAGTCTACCACAATAAATGTTTATTGAAGGTTTGAGTAGTTCCAGTGCTGAGAAGCATCTGAGGCTTTGTCATCATGGATATTTGCATGGCTTTGTCTAAAAGTAATATGTACTAGGATTTTTATTTCTTAACATTTTGTGGGGCCATGTGGCAACACTGGCTGCTCTTACACTTTATGCATCTTCAAGTTTAGAATGCAGTCATGAGGAATTAACATGAAGTAAGCAACCGACATCAAAATGGAGTAGATCCCAAATTGTGTGAGATTGTGGTTTGGAAGTTTTGTGCCCCTATCCACCTGATCAATTGTTAAGTGTTACTCTCTCTCTTGAGTTGTCCTTTATAATATATTTGTTTGTCTTCAGTGTGTTTGCTAAGTCATATCGAAACAGTAAGTTTCTAAAGGAGGAAACTTAATGAAAAGATGCATAAAGATATGTTTCAATGAAAAGAACTGTGAAATAGTATTTCTTTTTCACTGATAACAGAAAACAGTAATTATGATGATGGCTATAAAAATATATAGTTTTGGTCATTTTCAGATTGTAATTTGGTAACTAGTCTGGAAACAAATTATCACTAACAAATTGAGACACACTGCATTTGTGTTGCATAATTGGTTTACCCATGCATTAAAAAGTTATATTTGTTATATAATTGTATAATAATGTAGTCTTGAATAAGAGTACAAAGTTTTGACACTTGTGTGCTGAATTATCAGTTTTCTTGAATTACAGAGACATGTAAAAAGAAGCTATGTTCTTTATAAAGTTAATTTGTTGAGAGTAAGACACTTAAGTGGTTGAAACCATGTAACAGGCTTTTTTTGCCATTGTCTTTGTAAGTCATTTTAGTTGTAGCAATCCTGTTAATACTTCAGCCAGAGGACACGGTTATTTTCCCCTCAGTATGATTGGGTATCAAGAGGGGAGGGAGAAGGGGGGAGAGATTTTGTGTGTGTGTGTGTGCATGTGTGCGTGTTGTATTTCACAGTTTTCATAACACTGTATTGAGAATTCAGTGCTCAAGTGACAATTCTACTTGGAATTTTGCAAGACTGCATTTTATTTGCCTTTGATGATGGTTTTGCCCACATAAAAATTGTTAATGCCATTGAATATTGTTGCGGTAATGATGGATGAAAAAAATGGTATATACCCCATTTGGAATTAAACCTATAATAAAAAAGGAATGTCACCAGTTAATGTGTTATTTTATTTGCTATAGATACCTCAGCTGTCAGTAAGATACATCACTTTACTACTGAGACATAGCAGGGAACTGAGGAACAGAAGTTTCTTTTCCATGCCTTTTTCTGATTGATTACATTGTGTTGGAGTCTTAAATAGTTAATAGCTACTCAAACTCCCTGTTGAACCAGAAGGCTCTTCACCGTGTTCACAGAAGCCCATTATTGGCTTCCTATACTGAGATGCTTCAGTCTACTTCAAATCTTCCCAACCTGCTTCTTTAAGACCCATATTACAGTTATAATGTAGTAGTGGTACTAGTACATAGGAGCAGACCTAACTGCTGGTCCTTGCACTGCTAGCTTCAGTGATAATTGTGCATAATCTTCTATTTTAACCCTTCAACAATCTGACACTTCAAATGGTAACCAGTAATAAAAATCTTCCATTCTTTTGAGGTTCTCTGCCAAAAATATTGTAGGCATGTTATTTGTCTCAACCATTTCATCCTTCATCTACTGGGTATTATACACCATTCTTAAGAACCCTTTAAAATCTTCATCTAGGTATTAAATATTAGATGCAGAATGTATGTTGTAAATGTGAAGCTTTTATGACTTCCATTTTCCAATAATACAAAGTAAAAAGTTCTGGAGCAGATATTCAGAAATAACACTGCCTCTGGCATAAATATGAAATTGTTTTTTTATTGTGTGCCTTTAATTATGGTTATGTGTTCTTACTGGTCTGTGTCCACTGAGGGTTCCACTTCTGAGGTAGGAGTAAATGTAGTGCAGTATTTCATACAAACTCTGATGAGAATATTATTTTTTATAACTGCTGACATAAATAATACTTGTATTTTTCCACCACCCATCCCCTCCCATCCAGACTTCTAATTTTGGAGGTGGCACCTGGATATATGAGATGATAAAGATATGCTAATGAGTTTGAGGAATTCCCTGTTATATGGATTTGATCCTCAATAAACATTTGAAATGGTAATAAGTTGGAGCTCTCAAATACAGCATTTTATGGTCTGGCACCATGTATGGTCCAGGTCAAGTTTAGTTTGCCCCTAAATACGGCTTCAGAGAGACCACCAAGCAGGGGTGGTGTTTTTAATGTGTGTAAGTTTGTAAGTTCAAACATTGTACCTTGTTCTTGTACCAGTACCTTAAAATTGTATAATGCTAACGCAGTATGTTAACGATGACCTATTAAGGTATTTTAGTACCCTAATATATTAATCATCTGTGGTTCAGAAAATTCTTTGGTCTGTATGTTGTCTGGTCCCAAAGGTGCCACATTTGAGAGGTCTGGCCTATATATCAGTCTCCTATTGTTAATAAAATGCTTTTTATATATAACCACAGGATTAATAGTTTTAATTGTATAAAAAAATTTATTTGGGTCTGACTTTTATATGTGAAGGTGCTTTAGTTTACACCAGATACATATTGAAGGATGTTTGGGGGTTTGTTATCTTTCAAGTAAGTTACGTACAGTATATTTATTAGTATAACTAGAGCAGATTAATTCCATTTGAACACTGTGAACAGATTATACTGAGAAGCACTGTGTTCTGAGATATGCTGTATAGTCCATTTACTCGATTGGCATTTCGGAGGAACATACTGCCTCCATATTGTGTACATAGGAAAAATACAGTAAAAGAAAGGGAATTTATTTATTGTTATACATGAAGAGGATTTTAAACTTTTATTTTTCTTAAATGTTTCCATGTACTGCTGATATTTTACAGTGAAATTGTCACACAACTTGTAGTCAAATTAAGAAAAGTTTCACACTCACTATCCCACTGACATTACTTAAGATTCTGAAAATACGTGGACAAAATTAATTTTGAAAAAATACTTAAAATCACAAAACTTTCATAGTGTTTCCTGCATCGTGTTTAATAAATTATTTTGACTTTCATTTGATGATGTCTCATAACATCAAAGCTACAGCCATCAAAATGTGTTACTTGATGTCACTTTGAAGCATAATTCATTTGTCACCAAATGTAAACATTTCCTTTTTGTATTGAACAATACTTATTTCTTTCAGTCAACAAGGAAGAGACTTCATGTTAAGCAATGTTCATATGGTATCATTCTTTGTAACAGCATACATATGCCCAGCCACCTGATATATTTATGTCAGGTCATCTCAGAATTGGAACAGCTGACTATCAACGGATTGGCACTGTCTCATGATTTATTGTGCTGAAGCATTCACCTTTTTCGTACACATAACATTGCTTATAAAGGGCCATGATATTCATGTCATACACAGCTGCCTCTAGCAACAAAACAGTTCTGAATTGCAAACTGTCAAGTATCTTGACTTGGTCGTCTAGTGCTCTTTTTGATGCTGGTTGTCAGCTGGAGAGAGCTGGTAGGGCCAGAGAGAGACATGCCACTTTTTCCATGAGTTAATCTCTTTGCGCAAGGTAGGAATGATGCCAAACGAGCCCTCAGAAGGTTTAGCACACTTCTCTTACAACAGAAGATAACAAATATGAAGACTGCTCGCAACATGTTGACAATGTCTGTGATGTACCAATAATAATCTGCGCCTCCCACAGCCCATGAAATGATTTCTGTGATCCATGTCAGACCCATGAGGCAGAAGAGCTTCACATACAGGACCAACCTGTCAACATTGCAATACATAAGTATGCTAAAGGTATGATGTTAAAGGTGTTAAACAACAAAACTTTGCAAAGTATAGTATTGTTGCTTCAGCAGCTGCAGACCTGCTTCATGTTGTTGAAGTAAGTAACAGTTTTGTACTTTATTTGCTCAAGTTCTGTAAGTCTTGCCCTTAAATATTTCTGATGGCATGAAATTGAGATAAGTTAATACTGGCTTGATACATTAAAGGATGATGACATAGTTATCCTACACATAAAAGGAATACTGGAAATGTTTCAGAATGGGGGTGTCAAAGTGTAGCATTATCCACACAGTTATTCTTACTATTCAGCTGCTGTTTTCTGTTAACAAAAAACTTTGGGGATGCAGTTTTTAATGTCCTTGTCAGTTATTAAGAACAGCTATGGGTAATTAGAATTCCAAGGAGTAAAGCATATGTGTGGAAATTGTATGCACCCTCCAGTTCTGTTTCTGTGTACAATTACCAAGCAAGTTTGCCTAAGCAGTAATGCTTCTGCCTTTTATATGGGGGGGGGTGCCTGGTTAGGATGTCAGCTGGGACATAGACTCCACCAACTGAGGATTTTTGTGGTTTTCCTCAATTTCTCCAGGCACATGTCAGGATTAGTACCTAAATTCACTAATCATCCTCCCATTCAGAGTTACTGACAAACTATACAATATATGTAGAATGACTGAAGGCAAATTGCACTACTCGTGTAAATAAACTGTCTTGAATCAGCATCTGAACCATAAATGTATCCTTGTGAAGTTTTAAGAACAAAAGCATGTGAAGGTACCTTGCCGTATTTAACAGTGTATGTCTGATCTCTCTTAAACTCCTAAATTATCACCGACTTCTCATGCATTTTTTAGTAGCATAAGACAGGCTTCTCACTCAAACTAGAATTGAAAGGGTGCAGCAGTCTCCCTACTTCCAGTGTCCCTCTCAGAACTCAATAACAGTTATGACACTACTGAACAGCTGACCTGAGTGGCTACGTCTGCAGAACCTTCATGATGATGGGCATCATGGAGTTTATTCATGTTTGGTCATACTCATACTCCTGGAGCTGAACCCTTCTCGAGGAGCTGCCAGTTCTGCAGCTACTCAGTTTCCCAGCATTTTATGCAACACAAAGGTCCATTATGGAGTTCATAAGAGCCCTCCACTGGTCCCTATCCTGAGCCAGATCAATCCATCCCATCCTGTCTCTCTAAGAGCCATTTTAATATTATATTTAATATGCCTTGGTCTTCCCAGTGGTCTCTTTCCTTCTGCCACATGCTCTGTCCACCTCATCCTCCCTTGATCATTCTAATTATACTTGGAGATATTCATGTTTGGTACTGTGTGTTATGGAGTCCGAAACATGCAATAAAGGTAACGTTCTTGGTGCACTATTTCCTCACCTCTGCCTGTTTTTGCGGATAGCAGAACCTGAAGTATTTCCTGCACTGTTCAGGATTGCAGTATCTCTCCTCACTAAAATAATCCTGGTAGCTGTATACAGAAACAGCATCAGATTTGCCAAAAGCAGGAATGCCATAGGTCCATAGAAGTAGGCAAGAGTTGCAGCTGGCTCTGTACAACAACAGATATTAACATTATTCATGAAGAATTATTCTAAAGGCATTTGAGACTACTGAAATTCGGAAAGAAAGTTATTGGTACTGAAGAGTGATGAGGTGAGCAGAGGCAATACTCTGCCAAGCATCATTATTAGAGAAGAAACAAAAACTTACATCCTGTCTAGATGAATTACTCTTGCATACCTAGTGATCTTCAAGATCACAGCAATTAATTTTATAGGAATATGTAGCTGTTAAGTCTTTTTTCCCAGAAGTATGTTCTTTGTAAGTGGAAGGTTAAATATGACATTACCGAGTGTGCAAATCAACTTGGTATATGCTGCGAACTGAAATTTTCATGGTGATGAAGCCATACTGTGGCATGGGTTATGACATTCTGTAGTGTGGTGAGTGGATACCAACGTTTGAACACACTGCCTCAAGGGTACAAGTGGAGTGGATGCAGTATGGTTTCTTTAAAACATTGGTAACCACCTACCAGACTGCACAGTGTCCTAACTCAGACGACCACAATATATATAAAATATAGTATTCGTATCAACACTAAGCCTTCCTTATAACAAAATTCTGTATATAAAGAACACAGAAAGAAGGAAAAACTTGACTTTTTATCCTAGAAATTTTGGAACTGGAGAAGCAGATATAAGCATATGACCATGGTTCCCTGTAAGTAATGCTCCCACTTCATAGCTAATAAACCCCTTACACTTTTGCCTAGTCATTTTTCACTGTAGAAATTTATACTGCAAGTCAAGACATCTGATGTGTAATATGGTTATTTTTAGCACACTTAAGTTTATTAATATGTCAGCAGCTATTTCTGACTGTAAAAACTACTGTTATTAATTAATCACTTTGTTAGATTATTACTTCTTTATTGCATCTTCATCAAGTTTGAAATTCTAATATTACTATTTGTATAGTCCGTCCTATCACAATAATATTTTTGTTTTTTATTATGAGGCTTCTCAGGCTTAACATTTTAAGGCTCCAGTATGCTTAAATTCAGCCCTGCTTCCTGTCAGTATTATAGCCAAATCAGTAGTTAAATTTCCTGATATACTGCCATGAGGTACTTTTCCAAATTTATTTCCTTCAGTTGACATCCCATATAAACCTATATAATTGGATCCATGAATAACCAACATATCAACTAACTTTCAAACCAACATGCCCTGCGTCCAAAATTTGGTTTCAGTGGTGAACCAACAGCAAGGCCTGGAACAAACTCCACAGTTGCTGTGATCACAGATAGGATGCTGGCTGTACCCCATGCATAAACTGAGTACAGTATGAACTTCTTGTGATCACGTTCCACTGCGCTGCCTTGAGGGGAGTGCAAACCACTAGAAAACAAAGAAAATTGAAATATCAGTTTTCTGAAGGCTTGATTTGCTGTCTATCATGAGTGTCTCAGTAAGTTAGACTAGAATATGGCAGAACTTATGAAATGTCCTTGGATTCCTGAATTTTGATTGTTGAGGTTAGGGATTTATTCAGGATATCACTTGGTAGGTAAACATTTTATCTGTAAGTTGTTCTGTTCAACAATTAGTTTCCTACCTTAATTAAATATGGCTGAAGAGGCACATTTTCATGTTATTGCAGGCTCTTCAGTTGGGGATCTATAATTTTGTGAAGCCCATAATTCTTATTTTCCTAGAATCCTTCAAAACATTACTGTATTCCTAAGTTCTTAAATATCTCTGTTTTTTTAACATGTTAACACCCTGCAAGACAGTAACTTCAAACAGAGTAATGTATGTGTTTTGAACAAATTTCTCATGTGCAGAATAGTATTACAAAACCATAAGCATTTTTTTTTGTCTCCTTTCAACATATTTTCAAGATTCATACATTCTCTGGCATTTTTTCACATAGAAGTCTGGTGAAACTAATGTAAATTGTTTGTAACTGATGTAGGATTTCAAGTTCTCACAGAGTTCTATCCTTTGGGATATAATGCCTCTGCTTATCACCCGCTTTCACATCACCTTCTTGTTTGGCTTATTCTTTGACCCTTAAGATTGGATGACACACTCCAAAATGTTGGTTGATTTTCGGTGGACTACACAGCATTACATCCCAGAAGAGAGAACTCTTCCCTTTTAAACTTAAATTTCTCTCTAAGGAATGCGAGGAATAAATTGCTGATGGATTTTGAAGATAACAGTATCAACTTCATGATACCAGAGGATACACAATCTCAATACTTTTCAGTTCCCTATCGGTTACTTCCAGTATCATAGAACACTGTCACTACCTAATGTAGGATGTGAAATTTTGTGTGATGAGTCACATTTGATATGTGGCTTGTGTTAATAATTCCTTTTTGGTGTAATGTAATAACAACATTGCAGCTATGTGCAGCATTTTTTATGACATCAACAGCGGCTAAATGTGTGAAATGTCACAATGATTGATCACAAACATACCTACTGATTATGTACCAATCGTATGGAATATATAGTATGTTAAAAATTAGAAGCCTTGTGATGATGTGAAATTTTGAGGTTATGCCTGACAGAGCTGGAACTTGCATGCAAATATCAGTAGATCATTACGAAGTATTGTTAATAATGTACCTCTCGATTCTAAGGCGTTTAAATGAAGGCAGGTGACACAATTTCTTCCCAGTATTTCATGTTTGTTTATTCTACGCAAAACATTACTTTGCGGAGATACACAAAACGTAAGAAGTCAATTAGAATGTTTATAATAATGGGTCTAATTTTAAACCTCTCTTAATGTATGAAGTCTGTGAATATGCGAGGTAGAGAAGGACAATAATGATTGTGGTAACATACTAATTCAACTGCCTGTAAATATTTCGGACCATCACACACTCTGTGGATTACGTTCCGTTTTCGTAGCGGAATAATTTAATTACGTCAAGTATATACTGGTCATTTTTAAGTTACTAAGGGCGCCTGACACGTTACAGATCTCATTAAATGGGATTAAATTTCTTCCAGCATATATTTCGTACCATTTATAAGTGTGCATGAAAGAAAAAATATTACATCCATAGCCCTTCCCCTTTGAGCTGGTGCAATTTAAAGCAAATAGTGCATAGTTCGAAGCCATAATAAACATTGATATCGATTCTTTTATCTCTTGGGTGGGTATTTACAAGGAGTGCTGAATACGAAAGTACTTATTTCGGTACAGTTATACTCCGAATTCGAAATTATACGAACATAAATGTAAACACTGGTTCAGAAAATCGCTCGGCACACACAACTTATTATTGTTATTATTATTATTATTATTATTATTAAAGTTCGTTAAAACTGTCATACGCATAGCTTGCAACAACGAGGAAGCCACACTTCAAATAATCGGCACACGACTGACTGTTCACACTGTCGTAACGATGCAGAACATGCTGGCTAGCACGTAGCTACTGAGATTCAAGTATAAAACTGGGTCTTCTGGCGGAGGGACGTACACTTTGCTATAAACAAAGAAATTCATAAAAGTGAAATCCGCAGGTGATGGATGGCATGCAGATGAACACCCTCGCTACTCAGGACTATCAGGTAAGATTTTATTCAGGAATACTTTCAAATCAGTTACCGCCGTGAGGCAGGACACCGTATAAAAATCACGTTAGAAATGTCTAGCAGGATAAGCATTCACTTCTTTATCAGAAGTTCATGAAGCACAGTTCTGTCTAATTACAACATCAAAACTTCCAGGTGAGGCTCCACCTTGTAAAAAGCCTGATTTTAATTTTGTAGAACGTAGTCCGGTTTTGTGCCGTTGCCATGTTGATTCTTTTCAAATAATTTATTCGACTTCGTTAAAACGATCCGATTCTGACTGAATTCTCTACATATTAAGATCCATTTTAATATTATATTTCCACCTCCGTCTCAGTCATCGAAATGGTCGTTTTTCTGTTTCCCAATAAATTTTCTGTGTTTATTCATTCGTTCTTCCATACGAGTAACAGGATCAGGCCTTTGCAATATTCTTAATTTAACTATCCATATAATGTAATTGTAAAATTGTTAATCACAAAGCTCCTTCCTACATAACTTTGGTCCTATCTATTCTCCGCTATTTAGTGATTATCTGAGGTGTGACTGATATCCTCACAGTTATATTCTTGCCTCAGGGACAGGCATCAAGCCTTCTCAATGATAAACTAATTTTACTACCTTAAATTTAATATTTCGGGAGTAGACGAAGCGGTAACATATTGGGAAGTGAACAGTAACAGTTTCTTGAGTTCATTATGAATCTTTGGAAACAGCGGTGTTCCATGATCGGAAGATTAGTTATCTATCCTAATTCTGTTACTATTAATCCCGAAGTATGTACACTGTGACCCATTTTCGTCATTCCTTTCAAATGAAAACCATGCTTATCCGTCAAGTAATAAACTGCACACACAGCAGGCCGACTTTACGTAGAACCATACCATATTTCCATAAAAGCTAAACATTTTCGTTGCCTGCCTGATTAGAGCTGAAATTAAATGTAATAGCCAGTGTTCTTTAGTAGACAGCAAATTATTTCTAAATATTGCAGGTGAACGTCAGGTGTTTGATCAATGGACATAGTGGAAGCCCAAAGAACAGGTGTGGCTTACATAATAGATTCTGAACTAGGTTGCAAGGAAATCGATCGAGGAAGAGCCGTTTATGAGAAGTTTGTGTGTGTGTGTACATTCAGATGTTCGAACTGGATTAAATTTGCAATGTTTGAAGAACGGCATGTGTTCACAGCTTAGATGCACGACGTGTATTTGAATGAGAAGTTGAGTTCTTTGGAGATGAATGAATGGATGAAAATTATTTCTTTTTTAATTTCGTGAGGTGGGGAGAGACTGAATCCACCTGGTACGTCGGCCATTAATTGGCCTATTGTACCAGCCCCCGATAATAGATGATGATCAGTGTGGAGCAAGTCAGTGGAATGAGAATTTGCAGAGGAAACCGAAGTACTCGGAGAAAACCTGCCCCAGTGCCACTTTGTCCACCACAAATCCACATTCTTGATCTGTGATCGAACCCGGGCCGCTGCGGTGGGAAGCCGGCGACTAGCCGTCTGAGGTAAGGCACATCCGAAAGATGAGAAAATCTCGATTCGACTTTTTGAGAATTCTGTTGCAGCCAGAATGCAAAATTATATATATATATATATACGTATACACACACACACACACACACACACACACATGGCGAGTGGTTACGGGCTGGACGGCCGAGGAGTCAGAATTCGAGTCCCGGTAGGAACAAGAATTTTCTCCTCTCCAAGTCGTGCAGACCGGTTCTGGAGTCCACCCAATCTCCTATCCAATGGGTACCGGGGCATGTAGCTGACCACTCACCTCCAACTAATGCCGAGATCAAGAATACATGGATCTTTAAATCCACTCCCCAGTACATCTTCAGGGCGTATTGCTTAATTACTCGAGCACAGGGATAATTTTACGCAATGAAAATTGGATCATCAGAGCTGTATTGTCATTTGTTCTGTCATACCTACATCTACTTCTTGTTATCGGTAAATAAATAGCAAATATAAATTTTTTATTTATTTGTGATGTATTCAACGACGCTGTCAGTGAAAGAGACCATTTATAGCTACGAATGTAGGCTGGTAGTGAGCAATGGATATTGTGGAAGGATTTGGTAGTGGCCGAATGTGAGGTATTATCCCGACAGTTTCTTGGAGGAACTCAGGAAAACCACGATAAATCTCAGTCAGGATAGCTGGTTTCCATGACGAAATCTGAACTTAGAACCTCTCCCCCCCCCCCCCANCCCAATATGAAACAGAAGTGATACCAATTCGACCGCAACTTTGTTATTTATTCGGAAGAATAATGAATGTGCGTCTCTCTCTAGAATTTTTATAATAAAATTTCTTAATTTTGCAGCGTGTGCACACAAATCCATCTATATCCTTTTCTTTACGTCATTGACCATTACGTCGTACTTCATCAGTAGGCCCCAACGTAATTTCTGGTACTGTCATTTGTCACAAGCATAAGTTTCTTTATTAAATAAATATATTTTTTAGTCGGTTCTCTGTGCAGTCCTATGCTGTGTCATAAAAATAATTAAAATAAAGTTACTTTCTGGAACTGAGTAAACCCTGGACAGTTATACATACTTTAATATTCAAGTAGCTCTTATGGGTGTGAAACTTGGTCTCTGACATTAAGGGAGGAACATAGATTGAGGGTGTCTGAGAACAGGGTATTGAGGAGAATATTTGGACCGAAGAGAGATGAAGTGACAGGAGGCTGAAGAAAACTGCATAATGAGGAGGTGGGTAGGGCATGTAGCACGAATGGGGGAGAAGAGGAATTCATATAGGGTATTTATGGGACAGCCAGAAGGAAAGAACCACAGGAAAGACCGCGGCGTAGGTGGGTGGACAATATTAAAATGGATCTTAGAGAGATAGGATGGGATGGTATGAATTGGATTAATCTGGCTCAGGATAGGGACCAGTGAAGGGCTCTTGTGAACACGGTAATGCAGCGGCACGCACACAAGAAGACTACACAGAATAACACCTATACAATACTAGAAACAAGAAGAAGCCGCTGCAGCACTATAGGCACAGGGCGAGTAACCCTGACATTTTTAAAATTAAAATTTAGAAATATTTTTAAAGGATTTCAAATTAGAACCGAAGATTTTATAAGTGCTAATCAGGAAGACCTATGTTTTTAAATTTTAAATGTTATAAATAAGTGCAGTGTAACAGATACGTGAGTGTTTACACCTGATGATGGCCGTTTGGGGCCGAAACATGTAGTGTATAAAGAAGAAAAAACGAAAGACCTATAAATATAGTTTGCACTTAGGACGGAGTTATATCATATATGAGTAAGTATATTTGACGTTAGCTGTTGGAAGGTCAGGGTGACATTTGCGGGGGGGGGGGATTAACATCTCGCAATGTTTCTAACAGGACGAAGAAAAGGTTCAGCTGTTCGCCAAGTGCTTTTACGTCAGACTAGGTGATGTATCGTACATGTCGTGTTTAAACATCTGGGCAAACAGAATGTTTGACTTTTACGAGTATATGCATGCTTCCTATTAAAAAAACACTTCTTCCTGAAAAGCCCATCCTTCTTGCACACAAAATGATAAAGTCACAACTACCACTTTGCTGGACACGGAAACGACAGACAGACGTGTAACTTACTACATAAAGTGTTGATCGGGTTAAACCAGGAGAGTGAAAGGTCGTAAGCGGAACTATCGGAGTTTCACACTGGATGCAAGAAGTGGCAGAAGCTGCATATTTTTAAACCAGCTGTCCTCTTGCACTTCTTTCGCAAAGCTTGAATGCTAGCAAGAACGTTCTGAGCTTCCACCTATTTCCAGTTCCTATCTGAGAGTGTATGTGTATATAATTTCAGGGTTCTCTTCTTGCAGTCTGCCCGCATGGCAAAATCTGTAGTTCTCAGTTCTGCGTTTTATTTCATAATTTATTACTTCAGGGTACAGATAAAAGATCGCATGTGTTCAGTTTTGGTCTACCCTATAACCAGTGAAGACTGCGTTAATGACGGATGGGGAAATTGTCTAGGCGTAGTGGAGTGGTCTGAATTTATTGATAGAGGTGCCATGAATTAAAAGTTAAAGGCATCATAATGACCTGCGTTTAATTTATTAATATGCATAGAACCGACAACGCTCACTTAAACTCCCAGTTATACGTGTGAATTTCACAGTGGCACTTGTGAAAAAAAAATTAATTCACATACAGAGATCTTATGTGACAACCTTAATCAAATAGTTCGGCCGGTTCGGCGGGAAGGAGACACGATCTTTGTGGCAACTGGAACTGCGCGCGTTAAGACTCGTGGCCTAGTCAACAGGCCAGCAACCTATAGATATTGCATTTTATCTTCAGTATATCCCCAGTATAGCTCGAGTGGTTAGTCGCTGGCTTCCCACCGCGGCGGCCCGGGTTCGATCCCGGGTCTGGTCAAGTGGGATTTGTGGTGGACAAAGTGGCGCTGGGGCAGGCTTTCTCCAAGTACTTCGGTTTCTCCTGCCAATCTTCATTCCACCAATTGCTCCACAATCACCCTCACCTATCATCTGGGGCTGGTACAATAGGCCAGAAGTGGCCGCAGTACAAGGGACTTAGTCCCACCCCACTAGCAATAAAAAAAAAAGCTTGAACATTCCCGTCAAAAATTCCCTGGGCGCCATACAAAGGAGACAGGGATGTAAAATTTCGTGTTTCAAGTTTCAAATTTGCTGTTTCCGAAAATGAACTTCAGTGCCTGAATATTAAAAGTCGGCGAATGTGCAAGGAATGCGTGCATAACTCACTGAATCTGGTGTTTTCTAGACACTGCATTAGTATTACTATTCGGCGCTACAGCCCTGCGTGAGCCTTGGCCGCCTCTACAACCAGTCTTCACTGCTCTCTATTCCTCATCTTCTCTATCCATCCTTTCACCTTCATCTTCTTCAGGTCGTTCTCAACATATATTCCAGGTTGCAGTCGCAATATCATGTTCCTCGTCCTCTGGTTGGTCCGTTTCCCATATGTT